GAGAATCACCAGCTGGGAACCCCTCCCAGCACAGATAGGGCTCATTTTGAATCTTGTGGGGACTCTGGGGATGCTAGCCACTTCCTGTGTCTCCAGGAAAATGACGGCATCGCCCCTAGGAAACAGGGCACCCGTTGCATATCGGGTTGGACCAGAGGCTAATGGATCTTAAGAATTCTGTTTACGAATAAGGAAGCGCAGAGTCAGCAAGACCCACGTCCAGTACGTTTGAGAGCCAAGACTAGAACCAAGATTTGACTCTGAATGAGTTGTTCTTTCCACTTCTATCAAGCAGTCCCTGTGCCTCCCCAGCTCCACCAGACTCAAAATAAAGGTGTTTTCCTTATGCTTGTCCGACAGGCAATGGGTTTGATAAAGAAAGTGAAGATACCTTATCTCCCAAATTACATTTATAAGGTCCTATCACTAGAATGGCACTCGGGATGAACATCTCTGCCTCCCCTCTCTGTTGTCTTCTCTGTTGTCCCTGCCGTGACCTGGGAATGCGCCTGGACCCTAACCCAGCCCGTGCCACCGCCACTAACCCAGCTGAGCCCGCCTGGATGACCCACCACACCCCCAAGGCCATGGCTACACTGATTCTAAGACCACTAATGCGTCCGTCGTTTGTCCCACTGACTGAGGGCTACTCAACCCTGTCCACACTCCCGGTCTGCCATCACCTCCTGGGAGGAGACTCTCAGAGGCCAAGCACCTACTATTTTCAAATCCTTAAAGCCTGCAGATGGGCAGATACGGGATATTTGGGACTTTTGGGGCTTATGTGAAATCTGGTCAATGTTCACACACGCGTTCCTGTCCCTGTGCCTCATCTTGTTGCCGGTCTTCCCCTTGCCCACCTCCTCCAGAAAGGGCAGTGTGCCCTCTGAGGGCCACCACGGTCATCCCAGTGCCTGCTGCGGGGTCTGGAGATGCTCGAGAAATAAGGAAGGAGGGTCTCAACAGCATGGGGGACGGACACGAGGTTTTCTCTGTCCGGTGACATTGCAGTGTTCTTACCCTCTGTCACCTGAGCCACAGGGCTCTTCTGGCCCCGACCCATCCCATCTGCAGGAAAATGTCTGCCAGGCCCCCCTCCTTTGTGAACGACAGCCAACCCAGCATTAATAAGGAGATGGCCCAGAGTTCAGTCTGGGGACCCTTTCTTTGCCCTATTCTGTGTATCCTCTGATTTTATCGTTTTGTGACTGTGAATACAGTCTAACGAGTGACTTTCCCAGTTTCGTGTCCAGCCTGCACCCCTCCTCTGAGCTCTGGACGTGGTTGCATTCTGTTCCCTTCTGCCGCGTCTCCAGTTGGACGTCTACGAACATTTCAGACGCTCATGACCAAGAAAGAACCGTTCATCCCTCGTCTACCCTCACTCACGGTTCTCATCCCAGCAAGCCCGCCTCAGCGCAGGAAAAAATCCCACTGCCTCCCACTGTCCGAATCAGACTCCTGGGAGTCGCCCTCGGCTGCTGCCTTCCCTTGCTCCCCAGACCCAGGGCGTCCGTCTCTCCACGCTGTCCTGCCCCCAGACAACCCCTTCTGCCCCCTGCAAGCCTGGTCACTCCACCACTGGCGCTCAGCGGGGCCATCTGCAGAAGCCCCTCCTGGGCTCTCCACTTCCACCCCACCCGCCCTCCACAGACAGCCTCTTGTGGGGGGCCCAGCTCCCAGCTCTCCTTGAAGCCCTCCAGATGGTGTGCTGTGAGACGGCCTCCCACAGTGCAGCCCCCAGGCCGCCTCGCATCCTTACCTGCCTCGTCTCATGGACGCACCGTGTCTCTGTCCTGCTTGTCACTCTGGCCCTCAGCCTTTGTTTCTGTCTGTGCTGTCTGCTTGAGAGAGTTTTCCTCCCATCTCGTCCCCAGCTGGGATGTAACTCGGATGACGCCTCCTCATACATGTCTTCCCCCACCCCCAGAGATAACGTTTTCTCTCTTCTTAAGCATTCAGCAAGTCATCTTATCTACCTGTGTATGTGCTTGTAGTTTGTGTCCGCCTTGGAACAGCAAACCCTTAAGGGTGAGGGCTCCGTCTTGTTTACTGTTATACCCCAGGGCCTAGAACCATAGACGTTTATTGGTGATATTACTGGATATAATTGGATATATTGGATAATACTGGATATATTAATGACTGAGTAAAAGAACCCTTCCCAGAATGGTCTAGAGTTACTTAGCACGTTGTTCTGGAAAGAGCTGGAGCTTTGGTATCTAGGGAAGTCCGGTGCTGGCTCTTGCTGACTTGAATAGCAAGTTACTCAGCAACTTGGGGTAGTTTCTTCTCCTGGAAGAGGGGCTGTGAGAGTTACTGCGAGTGTCCCGAGTGCTGTAAGGACAGAGCGCCCCACACAGCAGGTGTCCTGACCACGGAGGTAGGTCACACGGGCCTTCCTGGTTCCCGGCCCCGCGCCATTTGCATCATCCCAGGATGGGAATGGCTGGACACTGGGTGAGTCGAAGAGTCAGGGATAAGGGAGGGATGTGAAGGAAGACTCTGGAACCGTTGTGGCATCCCAGAGAGTTGGTCTGTGGATCTTTTGAAGTGAGTGTGTAAGTATGATCGTTTTGGAAGAATGTGAATCCCTTAAAGGACTGTGTTAAGATCCGTCGTCATTCTAGAAGAGCAAAGAAGGAAACGCTTCATATTTTCAAGGCTCTGGTCATCTGTGCTGTCTCTGGCGAGCAAGAGAACCTTCCTTTCAGCCAAGAACAGGGGCTCCTCAGCCCCTGAGCTGGTGCTCTCCTCGCTTCTCTCCCTCACTGTGGACGGAGAGGCCTCCCTCGGTGCCTTGTTTCCCTAATGCAGGGCCCAGACGGTGTCAGGTACTTGGGTCTTGGACCGAAGAAGACGACGGAGAAACGGGCAGGGCCAGGAGGGAGGCAGAGCCCGATTCGGGCCAAGCACGAAGGTTCCGCTGTGCGCATGGTCGTGTTTACACAACACAGCAACGGCTTGGGGGAAGTTCCACGCCGTCCAGACACAGGGACTCCTCAGTTCTCAGAAGAAAGTCCCATAGAAAAGGAAAGTAAACACCAGAGATGATTTTTTTTCTGGCCTCAGCAAAGTCAGACAGGAACCACAGGAGTGGTTTCCAAGCTGGCTGGCAGAGCCAGGCTGATCGGTGGCAGGAGGGCTCGGTGAGCCAGAGCTGGGCCCAGGACACTGGCGCGGAGATGCGACAGTCGGGAAGGACGGGTGTCAGCTAAAGTGGGACACAAAGAGATGAGTCCAGAAAACAGACTGAAGACCTAGAGACTGACCCAAGAAGAAAGGACCCGCTGGTATCTCAGCGGTGACTCAGACCTGGTCTGGATGCAGCCGGGGAGAGCCTGTGACTGGCCGGGTCCCAAGGGGGTCAGTCAGGGTATCGGCGACTCTGGGTGCAGGTATGGCCCTGACGCTGCCCGGGGCCGGGGGGGGCGGAAAGCCCCCTCCGACAAGGAGTTTCTGCACACTGGGCTCTGTGTTAAATGCCTTGTGGACATATTAGGGACAGAGAAAGAACTCTTAGTCCCAGGGAGGTCGCAGGGACCCCAGGAAAGTCTGGGACTAGGCTGGGACCCTGACGTCCTTCTCAGTCCAGGTGGGCACATGGCCTTCCCGAAGCAGCCTCGGGACCAGGAGAAAAGCTGGAGAAGTCCCTCACTAACCTGGAGCCTGCATGGTGCCCCTTTGAGCCACTGGAGGAGGTTAGCAGCTCTAGCTACGAGAACCACGAGGCAGAGACCCAGGCAGAGCCTCGAGGAGGCTGAACTGTCAGCTCCTGTCCATCTGCAAGGCCACACTTCTCAAGTTTCGCTTCTTACAGAGCATTTCCCAGGTTCCCAAGCGCTTTCCAAATCATGCTGGCTGACTGACATCCGTTGTTGGATTATCCGCTGCTGGAGGAAAGGGTCTCAGAGATCATCCTCTTGGCTCCCGCTGCGTGACTCTGGCTAAGTTACTTGCCCTCTCTGGGTGTCACTGCCGCAGCTGAGAGCCTGGACTCTGGAGAGGGGCTGGTGGTGAGTGGATTTTCCAGGCTTCAACAAGCTCTGGAACCCTCGGACGTTCTAAAGGAGAGCCATTCACTGGGCTCCAGGGAAACAAACTCAGATGTATTATAATCTTTCCTTCAACCCAGCTTGTAAGCCCTAAATGCTTCCAGAAGCCTCATAGTTCTAGCACTTCTCTGAACCCCTTGCCAAGCCCTGTTTTGAGACAAGGAAGTTAGGGGGAGTTTCTGAGTCCCGTACAGCTCTATTTTTGTCTGCAACGTGCCTTCCTGCTCACCCACCACCGGTGCCTTGCGAGCAGAGGCAGAGTGTGCGGTCAGCGGGGCCCGAGCAGTGAATAGCAGCGGACTGAGAAACGATCCGTTACGTGTGTGGGGAGTCGGGCAGAGGCGCAGACCAGCCGGCCTAGCGTCTTTGCCAGGGGGCTCTAGTCATCAAAACCGGGCCAAAACCTCTCCATAGGAACTGAAGGACAAGACGCTGGCCTGTGATCCCTCCTGGCGCGGAAGGTGGGAGCCCCGGGAGCTCCGCCCAGCTGGGCCTGGCTTGGTGGGGGTGCTCAGTCTCCCCCGCTGGCTTCCCGAATGGAGGTGAACCCTTCCACATCTGCATGCGAGGTCAGCATTGGGTGTTTAGGCTGGGCTTGACCTTGAATTACAGCAGGAAAGAGCAAAGACGAGCTCGTCTTTCCTCCGGGACAGCCTGTTCTCAGACCCGAAGGTCTGTGTTCCGGCCACTCCTCTCCATCTCTAAACAAAGGCGTCTTCACAGGCCTCGGCCCTGATCGCTGAAGTTCACAAGAGGTTAGTGGGGCTTGGGGCTTGCCTTACCCCTGACCCCAGGCAGGGTCTAGCATGACCAGTGACATTTACTGTGGAGGGAGCACCCAAACAAGAAAGGTTGGACACACCTCTAGCACAAAAAGGAGGGCCTAGGAAGTGCGTGTGCGTGCGTGTGTTGGCACGCGCATAAGCGTGTGTGAATGTGAGCACGTGTGTGTGGTGTACACGGACACAGGCCTTATCTCTGTGGGCCACGAGCCCCATGCAGAGACCAAGGTGGGCTTTCTCAGATTAGCTGCTGCCCAAATCCCAGTTTCAGGCTAGACACAAGGAGGGGGAAGTCACAGGGGGCGTCTGCAGCCATCACCGTCATCCCCAAAGCAAAAGCCTGATGCCTCTAGGACTGGGCATTTAAGAAAATACTGCAGCCAGGTGGTTACGTAGGCCACGCGCCCCACGGCAGAAGTGGGGTGGCCATTTACAGCCCTCGCTGACTCCCCAAGTGTGTCTCGGTGACAAGTGCCACGTGGACGCCAACAGTGTCCAGGGCACGTTGGTCGTGTCAGGAAGCCTGGAGGCACCTGGAGGGAGTCCCAGTGACCTGCGCGGGAGGCCACGCAAGCCTGCGCACGCCTGTTGCCAACCTGGGGAACCCTAACTTGCAGGTGGTTCGTTTGGCGAAAAGGAACAGAAGGAAAGACTGGGATGAGCCGCTCTCGGGAGGGACGCCGTGGAGAGCAGAAGGGCTCTGGCAAGGACCCCGTTGCTGGTCATAATGACAAGCCTTCCAGAGACCTTCACGGTGTGCCTAGCTGGCCTTGGCACTCTAGACAGTGAATCATTTAATCCGCAGAAAGGTGCAGAAAGGGCGAGCCACTGGCCCAGCTCGCCGAGCTCATAGGAGATGGGAGAAGGCAGGGCCTGAACCCGGGGGTCTGGCTCCCTTCTGCTCGCCAAGTGCACATCAGACTATTTCCTGATTAATTCAACAAAGAGGTACCGAATGCTTCTTTGTCCAAGGCACTCACTTAAGGAGAGAAGCCAAGACCTATACCATGGTCAGAGTTCAGTAAAGGACATCTGCTTACCCTGTTCCCTACACTTAAAGCCCTTCTTTCCAACGTGTTGGCCACTCCCCATTTCTGAAGACCTCTTCTGACCAGGGGTAGGAGAGCCCCGTGCCATCTCTACAGACCCCTCTCCAGTCTGGGTCTTTGCAGAATGAGGAACACAAGGCTTGTGCTACTTCGCAGACCCCTGGGTGCCCCTTTGGGACAGGACCCAGTTTTATTCCTCTCCAGACCCCCAGAGCCACACCCAGGGCCGAGTGGGTCACCACTATGCACTAAACGCCCTTGAGTGGAGGGTCTTAAAAATCCTTGGATGCCAGGCCGAGTTCAGGATGCTACTGAAATGTGTCGTTGTCACAGCTTCCCTGCTCGAGGCCACAGCACAGCGCCCAGCGTGGCCCCCAGGAGCAAAGAGGAGAGAGCCGAGCGCACATCTGCCCGTTAACTTTCGCTTCCCCTTGGTTTGCCAGGAGAGACCGGCAGAGGCCAGGGCCAACGTGGATGACTCGGCGCCCCCCTCCGTGGCCCAGCTGGCTGGGCGGTTCAGGGAGCAGGCAGCCGCTGCAAAGGAGGTGAGTCGGAAGGCTTCTGAGCCCCTCTTCTGGGAGGGGGCTGGAGGAAGGGGAAGTCTGGGTCAGGCCCAGAGGAGAGGGAGGGAGGAGGCTCCATAATTACCAAATTAGGAAGAGAAGCCCAAGAGGGGTCCCTCTGAATGTGAGGGGTGTGGCCAGGCAGCTGGGCCTAGGCAGAATCTTTCCCCACTCAAGTGAAGCTTCCCACCAGCCAGGAGTTGGCGGGGCGGGGGGGGGGGGGGGGCGGTGCTGGAAACATGGGAGCCTGGCTTCGTTTCCATCTTGGTCATGTACTGTGGGGGATTTGGATCCTGCCTGGCCATGCCAGGCCTGGACAGTTTCAGAATACAGAGGTGCCCCATGCTCAGCTCCCACCCCCGCGTCCAGGAGTCAGGAGCATGGTGAGAAAGGGGCAGATTCTGAGTTGAGAATTGAAGAGGAAGAGAAAACTTTTCAGGGACGTGCATTCTGATGGGAGGCCAGGGATCAGGAAGGACAGGGATCCAGGGACCACCAGACCCCAGGGGAATCCAGCTGGAGGGCACAGTGTGAAAAGGGTTGTTGCGACGCTGGAGAGAGTTGAGCTAGATTGTCTTGAGTTACTCGGTGTGCAGAGCTCAGCAGGAATGACAGGAAGGAGAGGTGCCCCAGGGTGGGCCATGGCCCCTTGGGGCAAACAAGGGCGCAGCGATCATTCTTCTTTAGGTGCCATGTTTTGTCCTTTGGTTTTCCCATCTGAAACATCGGTCTTCAGTTTCTAGAGAGTATCGCAATGTCACGAAGGGTGAGGAAGGTAGTGGTGATAGAAGATGCCAGCAGCCCTTGGAGACCGGAAGCAGGTGTTATTTTGAGAGGTTGTTTCAGGCCAGTGAGTCTCGAAGCAGACAGGGTACTCCAGCAGAAAAGGACCAGGAGCCCGGAAGTCAGAAGGGGCAGACCATGGAAAAGAATCAGCTCATACAGCTAACAGACAGTCTTTATTAAAGACATGCACCCCCTCCCTCCATCTTCTCTCTCCGGACATCCCTGAACATTCCTAAAACCAGCTTCCACTTCCTCTTCTTCATCCTTGTTGCCTGATTAGCTCTCTTTTTCTCTCTGTGTGTCTGTCTGTCCCCCTGCCTCCAGACACCAGCCTGTAAACCAACGAGAAGGAAACCGCCCTGCTCCCTTCCCCTGTTCCCCCCCAAGGTAGAGCTGGGCCAGAATGGTGAGGAGGTAAGTGTCATGCCAGGGCTCGGGGATGCTGGTTACGGATCTGCTTTCTCCTTCTAGAGGAGAAACACACACATGTAGACCTTGAAACCTGTGCAGGGAGTTTCTCCCGTCCAGATTCAGGGATGAAGTTCCTCTTCTTAATGCTCCCAGCATCCTTGATTCAGACACCCAGGTTCCTTTCCACTCCTCCTCATGGAGGCTCCTTTAGGATTTGTCTAGACTTGGAGCACTGTTTTCCAAGCCGGAGAATTTCAACAAAGAGAACAAATGGGTCATACAGTATTACGACGCCAGACTCCGGAGTCACCGAGCTAGGTTTCAGTCCAGGTCCGACTTTTATGATCTTCCTTGCGCAGAAGTCACCTGGAAAGAGGCTGCGCTTGCGTAAGGCAGGGTTGCCTCGTGAGACCGAGCACCGTGGTTTCGTGCTACTCTTGTAAAGACTGGCTACTGCTCTGGGTCCCTGGAAGAAAATCAGAGTATACCGCGGCCTCGTCGCCCTGACGTATAAATAATCAGCATTACCAACAGAAGACGGGCGCTGGTATCACAGATCTAGCCAGCAGTAGATTCCCAGACTCGGTATGTACCTGCCCTTGTTTATCTCATCGTAGCTGTAAGAGTGACTTCTCTGCGCCCCCTCCCAGAGCCCAAAAACCTTCATGGTGGCCACACCACGGTCCCCCAGAAACGAGCTTGCATGTTCTCTCATCCAGCCTGGGAGACCCACCCCGAGAGGGAGCAAGGAAGCCAAACGCAGCTCAGTTCCCACATCTCACCTCAGCCACCTCTCTCCTTCCTTTCTGGTGACCAGCAACCTGATAATAGACACGAGCTGCCCGTGTGACCTTGAGCGCCTGTGGTAGTGAACGTGTGGAGGACAGAGTTTCAAACCATTCCCACCCAAGGCTTACAGGCGGAAGCCCATCAGAGAAAGAGGAAATGCATTGCTGCTGCTGGTCAAGGAGGGGTGGGGGCATCTAGAGGTTACTGCTCTGAGGTTGCTCCCCCAGGCCCTGAACAAGGGTCTCTTTCTGGAATGGGAACCCCAAGAAACACAGTTTTTAAAAACTGAGGAATTTTGGAATTTCTTCAAACACCAACATTATGATTCTGTGGCCTCAAGGAGTTACTAGCCAGTGCTATGACCAGATACATGCCAACGACTTCTCTTTACGGAGGGTCAGCTTCTCCTGGTGACTCTCAGCCCCTGGGCTTGGTGTCTGTGGCCGTGGCCCTTAGGAGCCTACCCTGAGGCTGCCCCCCATGACCCGGGCTCAGCCCTGGAGAAGCCCCTGTCTTGCACTGAGCCTGCTTCCGTATTTGTGAAACGGGACACGAACACTAACCAGACAGATGACAGGGGCTGGACGGGGACGTTTTATTCCCTGGAATAAAAGCAGAGCGAGTCAGGTTAGTTCAGCGGCTCTGGGAGAAGCGGGTCTCCAGGTTCACCCCCTGGGGGACCGCCCAGCAGAGAGATGGCCTCTAAGAGCCGAGGGCTGGATGAGTAGGAGGGCGGAGTTTAGAAGGATAACCTTGCCTGAAGTGGCAGGCTGCTTGCACGTACGTAGATAGGACATTGCTTCCAGGACCAATGACGTCTTGTCACCTGGGTAATCAGGTGGAAATAAAAAGAACCAGCCACTTTGGCTGACCAGGCTGGAGGGAGGCTGCTGCCTGCAGGAACCCGAGTTCCCGAAGCCTGGGGGGGGGTGGGGCTCGAGGGAGGGCCCCAGTCAGGACACTGCTCAGGGCGGGCAGGGTCTCCCCACCGCTCCGTCATTGCTGCCCGTCCAACCACAAGGCTAGTCAGTCAAACCCTCTACCAGAGAAAGGCTGAAAAGCTCTCCCAGCTGAAAAATCAGCTTCACAATTTCCAGACCTTCCAGGAACATAACACATAGACATACATACTTCCGTTCAGAGCCTGAGCAAGTTTCCCTCCGGGGACGACGGAGGCCCCGCTGAGGCCGGGAGCCCCGTGTTAGACGGCGGGGGGAATGCTGTCCCCTGCTGTCGTGTCCGGGAATTACACTGGCCGCTGCACCCAAGTCTTCCCACTCTGCGGCCCAAGTCAAATGACCGCGGGCTCGGAGCCTGGGCTGGGTCCCCAGCCCCATCCTACAGGACAGGGGCTGCTGTATCCAAAGCCCCCTCTCTAAGGAAGATAGTGGTCGCCCGGGGAAGAGAAGTTTCTGATACGACATAAAGTGAGCTTTGTCAGCAAAACCCTTGCTGCAGTTCCCAAAACAGTATCTTCAGAAACAACAGCTCCTGTGAAATTTCACCGTAAAGCCCAGAAATCAAAACCGACTGATTTGGGGCTGGAAGGTCTTTGCACTCATCAGGGACACGTGGCTCCTTGCAGGGCTGCTCTGGGAATGTCTGACAGGGTAAACTCGTGGGACCAAAGGCACCTTCTTGGCACTGGCGGTGTCCTTAGAATCATTGTTTTCTTAAAGATTTTATTATGTATTTGACAGAGAGGACATGAGCAGGGGAGAAAGGGCAGAGGGAGAAGCAGACTCCCTGCTGAGTGGAAGCCCCCACCCCCGATGTCGGGCTCCATCCCAGGACCCCAGGATCACGACCTGAGCCAAAGGTGGACATTTAACCAACTGAGGCACCCAGGCACCCCTAGAATCATTTATTCTAACCTGCCTGCCTGGGTCTTGGTTATCAGGCTGAGGCCAGGGCACCCGACTGTCAAAGCCCGAGTCCCAGCTGGAAACTGAACCAGCTCAGCCCCTCTCTCTCAATGTGGGACCTTAAAAAGGTCACAAGGAGTCACCTGAGTCAGTCTTCCTCCTTCCATCACTACCGTACAATTATCCTGTTAATAAATACCTCGGACTCCCTCCAAGAGATGGGTGCCACTCCTCTTTTTATGATGCAGGTAAACTAGCACGTGGGGGCAGGAAACGCATGTGGAGTCTCCAAACTGTGGATGAGTCCGAATCCTGCCCCGGCCTCTGCTAAACCACACGACGCCACCGCCGTCACCATCACGTCACTGTCTTCACTCCGAGTTGGGACCCATATATCAGGGGACCCAGATTCAAGTGACAGGGATTTGACACAAAACAAGGAGTCCATTTTTTAGACAAAATAAACTACAGACAAGATTCCTGAAGGACGTTCATCACAAAAATATCTCCAACTGGCAGAAAGTTTGTATGGTTTTCTACGTATGTATCAGCCACTGGCTGCTTCTGGAGGCCAGACACCAAGTCACACTCATCCTCCTAGAACCAGTGTGATGCCCGAAGGCGGCAGGGATCAGCGTCTTCTTAATCAGGATGAAGCGTCAATGTTCTGGAGAACGATGATTGATAATTAACACACGGGTCAGATTTTTCCAAAAATATCATTAGTTCAAGGGAGAGATTTCAGTTGTGCCTCTGTGACATTTCAGCTTTGGTCTGTAGTTGTGGTTTTGTTTATGCAAACAGAACAAATGGTCATTTTGCCCTTTCTCTTCCGAATTCCCTCCCTGGGCTCACGTTGTTGAAGGTCATGAGGTGAAGCTCTCGTGCCCTCCAACAGAGTCTGTTCTTGCTTCATGACCTTGAGGTCTTCCTTCCTGGGGCAGGAGGCCTCTTGTGTTTCGGACGTCTGTCCTGCCAGCTCTGACTCACAGATGCAAGTGGTCTTGTTGGCTGTGAGATGGGGGCATGTGGAGGGGAGCCTAGGCTGGCACGGGCCCGGGCGTGGTAAGTGCGGAGCTGAGGCTAAGTGGGAAAGTGGTGAAACCAGCTTCTGCCCCTGTTCTTCCACCTGTACCTCGCGAGCTCCGCCGGAACACCACCTCCCTGCACCTCACTCATGTGGTTGTTTTGGTCCATTTGCTCTGTAGAAATCACCGCCCAGTGCAAGCCATCCTCCTAAAATCAAGGTGAAGAGCTCGCCTCTGATCGAGAAGCTTCAGGTAAGCGTGGAATGGTTCCCCGTGGCTACTCTGATGCCCCCTCATCTCTTTTCCGGCATCCGCATGCCTCTGGGGCTCCTGAGGGTAGGACCTGCTGTCACCTGAAGACTTGATCTCTGCTAACCAGCTACGAAGGATGAGGAGTTCTGTCTCGGGACAAAGGGCCAAACTAAAGATCCCACCAAGCACAAGCTCCTGTACTTAACAGCCAATGGTTGGTGGCTAACGGGGTGGTCCAAGAGTCTAGAAAAAGACATGATAGTGCAAGAAACGCTCCATAACTAGCCAAGTCCTCTCCCCCAAAGCCTGAATGTCCCCACAAACCATTTCAGTCTCACACAGAATGGAAACTCAGCGGCTGGGCGTTGCATGGATTTGCCCGAATCTGTCATTAGGAAAGCCTGCCTCCCCGATCACCTTGTGAGCACAGAGCCCTCACTACCGTGCCCACAGCTGGCTGGCTGTCCTGGGGGTGTAAATGAACCATGCGGCACTGAACTTGAGCTCACGGTCTTTTGGGGGAGACGAGACGTCCACGCATGATACAACAGAAGACATACAGATCTACGTTGTGTTAGCCGCCCAACTCCTGCTGCTCCAGATCGGGGTTTCTCTACCTGGCAACACTGGGGCGGGGTCATGTTGTGGCAGGGCATTGCCTTGCGCATTCCAAGATGCTTAACAGCATCCCTGGTCCCTACCCGCTAGAGGCACCAGCACTTGTGACAATGGGAACCATCTCTAGGCAGTAGCAGATGTCTCCTGGGACACCCTCCCCATCCCAGGTCAGAACACGGCTCTGGAACTTTAAAGCAAGAGAAGACTAGAGTGGGCAGGAGTGGTTAATGAAGGCTTTATGAAATGCCTAGACCCTGAGTTGGTTCTCAAGGATGGGAGGCTGGGAAGGAAGGAGGAAGGTGCTCCCATTGTGGGAGCAGCATGAGCTAAAGCTAAGGGGAAGGTTGGCATCGGTCTCGGCCGGGCCTGCGGAGGCTGCCCGGCTTTCACCACGGTCTCTGCTTGGGCACCCAGGAGAGCAGCCAGGCCCTTGTGCTCCACACCCTCCGGTCCGGGCCCATCTGGGAAAACCAGCTCATCAGTCTCACTCCAAAGCCGTTATGAGGGGTGTGTCGAGAGGAGTAGCCACAGCTCCTGCCTCCACCTCTGGGAGAGCCCGGGATTTGGCCCCCCACCTGGTTTGGGGTTAAGCAAAGCATCTCCAGTTTCTGGCCATGAGCCTACCCTGCGCAGGGTGTGAGGGGGCTCCCCTGATGTTGAATTCCTACCGAGAAGCCCTGATTGCATTCCAGCTCCAAGGGAGGAGTGGGAGCCGCCTGCCACGCAGGAGGCTGCCGGGGTCCCATGTACATAAGGAGGATCTAAGAAGGGTCTCCAGATGTGCACACCACCCCCGAGTACAGGGTAGCCCAGGACCTGCACCCTTGCCTCCCCGCCCCCATCCGAGTGCCAGAAATTTGTTCCCACGGGCTCTGTGCCCCGAAGGGTTGTTCTCCTTCCCTTCCCTTCCCTTCCCCATCATTAAGGAGTCTCTCTGGGAAGCCCAGCAACTGAGAATAAGGCTGTGATTGCTAATCATTCCACCTCATTAAGAATGTCAGCAACAGGATGACAATTTGGCCAGATCCCATAGGAGCCTTATTTTGTTAGAAAGAGGAGGGGGCAGGGAGAGCCAAAAACTAAGAAATGCATCATCCGCTAGACTTTTCACCCAAATATTCTATTAGATGAGTACGAAGTATGAATTTTCCTCCCGGGAGTAGTCCATAATTCAAAGTTCAAGTTTCCTGCTGGCCAGCGAGATGTATTTTATTTGCAAGCAGTCTTAGAAAGGGAACTTCCCAGCTTGAACTTGGGCGGGAGGGAGACCTCAAAGCTCTAACGCCCAGCCCTGAAGCCCTGTCACCAGGCCTGCCCCTTGGTACTCATTGCATGCTGCTTTCGGGCATGGCTCGGGCTCACAGCGTTGCTGTGTAACTTTTCTATTTTTCATTCTTACCAGGGCTCAGCCTTGTCCGTGTTATAAGTTCTTTCTTCAAATCACAGTCGAACATACTGACACTTGCCTAAACATGAGTAACTCCGTGTAGTCTGCGGGTCCTAAAGCACACACAGGGCTTCTCCAAGCCACCAGAGCTCTGGCAGGAGGAAGGGGGCACCCGCACAGCTCTGGAGGGAGGGGGCTGGGGGTGGTGTGTGAGCGGGTGGTGGAAGGAGACAGTGCCAGGGACCAGATCATAGAGGACTCTGGCGGGCAGGCTAACCGGTTTGGACAAAGAAAGAACCTGAGACTCCGGCTACTTACTGGACTCACTGTGGAGATCAGACAGCTGTTAGGAGAAAGATCCGAGTTTCGCAGACCTCTCTGTCTGTGTGGAGAGCTTCCCCTGAGCCATCTGTCCCCTCCCTTGTGAGGCCTCCCTGCTGTCTGCTGGTCTGGAAGACGTCTGTGCAGGGTTTGGGGGACCCAGAAGGTGACGGAGCTAGGAGGAGTGCCCATAGCGCGGACCGCAGGCCACATAGCCATCGGGCACCACGGCCTTCTCCACAGCCGTGGGATGGAGCTGGGCCTCCCTGCCCCCTCCGCCAGCCCAACTCCTGGCTCCCTGAGGCCTCAGTTCCCTTTAGGTCACCTTCCCTCGTGTTGCCCTCCGGATTCATCTGAGTCTGGTCTTCCCTGCCCCGCGATGGCCCCAGGGGCGCCCACACTGGTGTCTGGCCATGGGCCCCTTCTCGGAAGGGCTGGGCCGCCTGCTGTGCGCACCCCTCTGGCCATCTACCAGCAAGCCTTGAGGGACAAGCCGGCCTGGCTTGAATCCCAGGGCAGGCTCTGTGGCCACTTTCCTGATGGACACAAGAACAAAATGGACCGTGTAGGGTCCTGTGTGCCAGGAAATAGTCAGTGTTCGGGAAGCAGGGACTACGAGGGGCTCCCCCGCGAACGTGGACCAAGGGGCGGGCCTGCTGCGACACCGTGTCCGCACGTGCTGGTAGCTGCCGTTTCGGCTTCCTCGTCTCTAAGCTGGGGCTGTTCTGTGGCGTTTTTGTTGGATCCAAATCAGCACTTTCAGGGTATTCTGGAACGCAGCCTGTGGCCAGTCAGGGAGCAGGAGTCAGCTCTCGTGGGCACTGCTTCCAGGCCCGGGACATGACACGGATACTTGCGACAGTGGATACTTGGTTAGGAAGCGACACAAAAAGCCTCGTGTCACCTGGTGACTTGGCCCCCACCAGTTCCAGGCCACATGCCCAGCAAGCCCCAGCAGAGGCGCTCGTGGTCCCCCACCGCTATTTAGCGGTAACAAGCCTCCCCTTTCCTCTGCAGGCCAATTTAGCTTTCGATCCCGCGGCCCTGCTGCCTGGGGCCTCTCCCAAGAGTCCTGGACTTAAGGCCGTGGTGTCACCGTTCCAGAGCCCACCCTCCACTCCCAGCAGCCCTGGCGTGCGGTCTCAGGCCGGGGAGCCCGAGGACGTGCCCGTGAGCTTTGACCAGCCTCCTGAAGGGAGCCGTCTGCCCTGTTACAACAAGGTAGTGTCTGGGCCCAAAGCCCTGGGAAGCCCTGGAGCGCATCTGAAGAGATGCGGGGGCGGGACAATCTCGAATATCTCTGCCCTGAGGACGCTGGCGCTCTCCTCAGAGCTGCCTGTGACAGGAGGAAACTTTTCCTGCTGGCTCTCGCTCGCCTGCCTCCCATCCTGTCTCCCAGAGCTGTGCCACTCACCCGGAGGGCCGCCTGGGGGATGTGCTCTGTCTCTGTGGAGAGAGGGCGGAGGGTTCGGAACAGATCCCAGCTGCACAGACTGTTGTGACAAAAACTGAAAAAAGTCTGAAGGCCTGATCAGACCCACACAGTGGGTGGGCAGGTCGCGAGGGCTCCGAAACACGCGGCTCTGGCTGGATCTAAACCCATTTAGGTGCCCCACTGTGGGCTGAAAGCCCTCTTACTGCAGCTTGCTCCGTTGAAAGAACGTCCAAACTGTACCCTTTGCACAAAAGGATGTGGGGCCCATTTCTGTAGATGCTGCCGTGATAGTGAGAGTGCTTTCCTTTGTCAGACCCTCAGCCCTACTGTACACGGTAAGAATCGGAGCTCCAGTCCAGCACTGTCCGGGCGGTGCCCAGCAAATCGGGGCCAGAGCCCGGCAAGGGCCAACATAAAGGGATCTGAGGCCAGGGGATGGCAAATGGATAGAACTTTAAAGAAATGGATGGAAAGAGTGGGGTCTTCCGGGCCATTTCAGAAAATTCATGGGGAAAAATCAAATGGGTAGCAACAGGTAGGACCCAGGAAAACAAACTGATGCTAAGTCTTGAGCCTGCGGGCTGGGGACAGGGCAGAGATCCTCCGGCTCAGGATAATGGAAAGACCCCTGACAGCAGAGAGGAACCCAGGGCAGAGCCTCCTGTCTTCATGGGATGCTCACTAGGGAGACGTGGCAGAGGGAGGGAGGCGGGGCCGGGAGGGAGGGGCTGCCACCTGGTTGTGATGGGGGAGAGGGGGTGCTTTAGCCTTCTGAGGGCAGCAGGGACCCTGCTGTGACGGCAGGGCCAGGCCTTGATAACCTAAAGGGCTAGCAGCGCCATGGTCTCAGAAAAGGGCCTGGGAAGCCCTCCAAGAATAAGATTTAAGGTTTATGAAATAAGATCTCATCTACATATAAAATTGTAAAGGACACAACACTTACATAAAGCAGGGCATCCACATAAACATTTCCACCGCGCTTCTGGCAAAGTCCACTGGGCCTAGATGAGGCCCGAGTGACCCGGAGGCACACGCACTTCCCGAACCAGACAGGATTGTCAGGCGGCTCCGCTGGACGGTCCTAAGGCTTCTGCTCATGCTGGACCGGAGCCCAGGAAAGAGAAGGCGTCTGCCTGTGCAGTTTTCCCGGGATTAGCCAGCTCTGCGGAGGGCGGGGCGGGGGCGGGGGGGGGCCAGGCTGGGGAAGGGGGCGAAGCTGGTCACCGGCTGTGCGGCTCTGTCCCCATGAGGTCCCTGGGCAGGGCCAGGCCACCTGCAGACCCCTAAAGCTCTTGTCTGTTGGGTTCACCTGTGTCAAAGTAAAATGTCCTAAATGTTAAAACATGACTCTCATAAAAAATAGACACCGATTTTACTCAGTTTGTCCATTTGTGAGGAAACCTGTAATATGGAAAAGCTCATGCAAAGAACCTCAAAGAGCTGGTTATTTATAGGCAGCGGAAAAAACATGTTGGTATTAAATTGCTAAATTCGACAGCAAACGGATTAATGTTTTACAGGATAATAAAGGTTATCATTTTTAGTGGATGGAAAGCATTTGCATCTTCACGAGGCAAAAACCTACAGGTCAGCCTGTGACTTCACAACCCCAGATACACAGCACGCAGGGGTCCATTTTCCTGGAAAGTAAAGGGCCCTTGGAGGCTGGCTGAGGAAGCAGCAGACTGACACCGGAAGACACGCGGTCCCCCTCTTGGCCTTTCTCACAGGCAGCGAATAATTTCTCTTAACACGTTCTTCTAGGTGCGGACAAAGGGCTCCATAAAAAGGCGTCCTCCCTCCAGGCGATTCCGGAGGTCCCAGTCAGACTGTGGGGACCTGGCAGGCCTCGGGGCCCCCGAGTCATCCCAGGAGAATGGTGCCAAGGAAGAGAACGGGGATGAGGTGTTCCCATCCCACAGCGGGGCCCTGGGTTCTCCTCCTGCCGGCGAGGGGCCAGTGGGGGCCCAGGAGAAGCCTCCTCTGAGGAGGACGTCCAGCCGAGCGGAGAGGCAGGAGAAGGGCCAGGCCGCGGATGAAGCGCAGCAGCCCCAGAAGGCTGTGGGGGGCTCTGAAGAGGAGGCCAGCGCACGTCCAGCCACAGGGGAGGCCGTCCAGCCAGCCCAAGCCTCCAACCCGGAGGCCGAGAATGGTCGCAGGAGCCCCACAGAAGGAAAAGAAGAGACAGAAAAGAGGGAGGCAAAGGAGGAGGCGGCAGCAAAGGAAGACGATGAGCCCAGACAGAGGAGCCAAGACACCGTGGGGTCGGCAGAGAGAGCTGTGGGGGAGGCCCCAGCAGGCCCCCCTGAAGGGGTGGAGGTTCCCCACATCCCGGAGCAGGGCAAAGGCAAGGAAAGGGACGAGGAAGGGGCCGTTCTGGAGCCAGGCTGCCGCCCCAGCAAGGAGGCCCCCGAGACAGAGGTAAGCGGCCTGCACGATGCCAGGAGGCGGCCAGGGCTAGAGTGTGTCTGCTTATGCGTCCTCACCGATCAGCTCAGTTGTGCAGAAAAAAAGGCCCCGGATTGAGACAGACTGTTGTGGATGGTGAGAGGACAGAGACACAGGAAAGAGAAGCAGGCCCGGAAAGCCCGGGAGACCAGCAGCTCCTTAGGACACACTAAGGAAAGCAGAGTGTGGCCCTGGGCAGGGGGTTCTCTGGGGGAAGCCCAAAGCACAAGGAAGGGGGCAACCGTGTGTGTGTGCATGTGGGAGGAAGTTGGAGAAGCTTCAGGGTGAAGATGGCATTTGAGTGGGGCCATTCAAGGAGGAGGCTTTGTGGTGGACACAAGGGCACAGAAGGAGGGGGTCCCTCAGCCCCGCCCCACCCCCACTTCCTGGCCCTTCAGCAGCCCCTTCACTCGTGTTGAGCTGAAACTGCACGTTCCTTCATTACTCTTGCCCATTCCTGCTCATGAGGTGCCCATGTGTCTTCCACGTCCCTGTCTCATCAGCCCCCAGGCCTTAGGGGCTTTCCCTCCTGCTGCTCCACTGTCATGACCCCTTCCTTATCTCTACAATCAGACTCACCCCTCCTGGGATTCCTGATCTCCAGACTCGCCCTACACATTAGCACCCAATTCCCCTTCCTGAAAATGGCATCTCGAGGTCTACGCTCCTGCCCCAGATGCTTTGATACCACACATTGGAAAATCGAGTTCCTGTTCCTCTCCGTGCTGAACTTTCTCCCAACTTTCCCTCCCCGCCATCATGGCGCCCATGCCTCTAGCCGGCCTCCAGCACCCACCCACGAGAGGCAAGGCACCCGCCCATGCATCCTGCCGTGGCCTCTACCATTGACGCCTGCACCCCCAGTGGAGATTTCCCTTGGTGCCGCCTGGAAACCATCCCACCGCCTCCATGTCCTCCACAGGCCTCCCACGACCACTCCAGTGAGACACCCGCAGGGACCCCATGCAGTCCCTTACATTCGGCACAGCACGTTCCGGTGGCCCAGGGCCCAGGCCGTGGTCACATGCCGAGGACACACTCGTAAATGTCTCTGCCTCCAGCCAGAGACCCTGTGGTCTAAGGCCTGGTGCAGCCCCAGCCCAGAAGGAGCCAGAAGTCATGCTTTGGGTTGAATGTTGACTAAACAGCGATTTTCCCTTTTGTTAGAGCATCCACCTTCTCTTTTGGGTTCTTTGTGTTCTTTTCCCACTTTTACGCCAGCAAAACTTCTGAAGCAGTGTAGCGGGAAGATGAGACAGAGCGGGAGTGGATGTGTAGGTGGGAAGCTAGCGCAGGGAGGGCGTGGGAGCCGGGCGTCAAGGAGCAGGCGATGTCGCCTGATAGTCGAGGGCTCGAGCTCTGGTCCCCGGGTTAAATCCTGACTCCGCGACTTCCTAGCTGTGTGACCTAGGGGAAGCCACGCGACCTTCCTGTGCCTTCACGGCTCCACCTGCAGAACGGAGCTAACGGAAGTATCTAATGTGTCTTGCTTTTGTGAGGAATAAAGGAGCCGGTGCTGTCGCGCACGCCGCGTTGTCGTCACCGCCGCTGCCGCTCGTGTTACATTCTTGCGGGTCCGCGGTCCCCAAGGACATCTGCCGAGCGTCAGGATGTCCCCCACTGTCTTCCCAACTCATCTGTTCCTCCTGTGTTCGCAGGAGAACACCCCTGTCCAGGACACTAAGATGTGAGGAGGTCACCGTGCCTCGTGATGAGGCTGCCAGAGACGCCTCTTTCAAAGGAGCAACAAGAGTAGCAGCCAATGAAGCCGTCGCTGACGCAGAGCTCATGGAGGGTCTGGAGCGGCCCGAGACAGAGACCTCGCTGTTTCTGGGTCTCCACGCTGACACTCTCTTGCAGGCAGAGATCAGTCAAAAGGCCGGCAGCCTTGCATCACCTTGAGTTTGTGTCACTGGATGGACTTGGTTTAAGAAAAAAAACCAAAAACTTACTTAAAACAGTTTACTGTGGGGACAGCTCCCAGGGATCCTCGCCAACCTGTGGGGCCTGGCTCCCAGCCGCACCCACCTGTCCCTGCGGCTGATCTCAGAACTGGATTCTGACTTAGCTTCTCAGATTTTGTTTTGTGCAAAGCAATAGGCTTCTTAACGCTCTGAACTTTTTATGATTCTCAGATGTGAGTAAAAACTGATTTCAGGTGGGTGGAAACAAAAGGAAAGAGTGTTGCTGAAATATAAATCCCATTAGTTACAGAAGACCTCAGTTACGGAAAAGCTTAAATTGTGGAGACCCCGAGACAACCTCTCAGCTTTGTCCACATGTGAACCGGCCAACCAATTTTTAAAACATTGGCCTGGAAGAGGTACTTTTGCACCATTTAAAAATATGTATTAGGAACCTCTGCTGTCCGGGCGTTTTCCAGTCTGTGGTACCCGGGGAGGTGACAGGCTCAGCCCATGCTCTTCCCAGGGGAGGAGGAGGTGGAGACGGGCAGATCCAGAGAAGCAAATGCGAGGTGTCACGGTTCTGCACGCGCTGCCTTTTCCCATCCTGAGAGCAGAGCGGGGAGACCTTAACAATGGCCACCCTCTGACGCATCTGGGGGAAGAAATGTGCAGTTCTGCAAGACGTCCTTGAGCCTGGAGTAGAAGCTTCCTGGGAGGTGCTGGCGCGTCTGTTTTGAAAGGTACAGGACGAAGATATCTTCCTAGCTTCCCTGGGAAGCTGCTCTTGAATCAAAGCCCAGGCCTCCTTTCCAGATGGGATTGGGGGGCCTGGGTTTTCAGCCTCTTCTCAACGGGTTGCTCTGGCTTTAATGTTCGGTGTGGAGAGTGCAAGGGGCTTTGCAAGGAGCAGGGGCCATTTCCTCTCCCCTCCTGATGCAAAGCTGTTTATCCAAATACACGGTTAATCTTTGGGGTTGGTTCTCATCCAGGGTGGAGGCTTTCAGTGTCCCGCTGCGCTGATGTGGTAGACGGAGCAGCTGTTGCTCTGAAGGTCCGTCCGACAGCCTCCTACCCTGACTTCAGAAAACCGTGTCCCAGACAAAAAGGCCTCTGTCCCTGCCGGTACCTCAGCATTCTCAGTACAGTTTTACAGTACAGTACAGGCTCCCAGGACCGTTTTCCTAACTCCGGATAGCGTTCATACTTGGGATATATATTTTTTCAAAGTTGTTTTTTTTTTTTTTCAAAAGTTTTTTCAAAACTTTTAAAATATAAGCATTTTCTAGACCTTGTAACTTAGTTAAGCCCGAAATTTTAAGTTTTATGTTTTAACAGGATTTTGGAGCTAGGTGTGTCTGTTATTTTGAGGTCTACATAATCCATAGCTATCCCTCCCTCCCCCATCCACCCATCCATCCGTCTGTACCTGTCCCTCTCCTATCTGCCCATCCATCTATATCAACAGAGATGTGTTACCCCCTAAACAATACATGATTTTATTTACATATGTCTTTGGGTTGTTTATGACACACATCCGGGCCAGAGTTTAGTGAATGTGTGCGTGTTTGTGAGCGTGTGTGACAAAAGAAGGGACATCTGCCACTTTCCTTTACTTGAAAAAGGAATGGGCCAGGCAGCCTGGGATGTAGCTGTGAGGACAAAACTATCTTTTGTCTTGAGGCATGACAGCTACAGCAGCAGGTGGGTAAGGAACAATGCATAATGACAAGAATGGGACCCTAGAGGAGCAGCCATAATGGGGTCAGAATGACTTGGGGTCAGAATGACTTTCTACCGGCGCAGTTCCTAGTGCTCACTTATTGGATCTACCTTGTGAGAAGGTGGAGGCCCTTTCCCAGTGGGTTATTGTGACGGCTGGGGGCTGTGGGCGGGGGATTCACGAGGAGCCCAAACTGTTCTGGCTTCCAAGGCTGTCCTGCCATTGGTCGCTTTCCTTCCCGAAGCAACTGCGATTACGTCACGTGTTGCATTTGCAGATCTGGAATTTCAACACTGGGAATCCGAGAAATCCATTTGTGTCTTAGTTAGCACAAAGCCATCCCTGGGCCAGGAAGACTTGGTTTGGTTCAGGCTTCCCTGATAGGCTTGAAGGAAAAATACTGATTTCTTCACAGCTACAAGGCTCAAGAGAGGAGTGGAGGCGTTCCTCCTCTGCCTCTGTCTTCGGCTTGATTTGCATACTGTGTCTTTCCTTTCTCCAGAAAGGGAGCAAGAAAAACAAAAACCCTGAATGCTTTGAAGGGAGATGCCAGTATTTGATCTGGGGCTGTTTAACGGTTTCAGCCACGTGTGGGACTGGTCACCAGGTGACCACCGGAAGCCCAGGGGCCTCCACTGTCCTCCCTGAGCTGCCCCCGGACAAAGCTCGGTTTGCCAGTCAACTAGACCCTCAAAAAACATATGTCTAACAAAGGGTTAAATTAGTGGACAGGCAGCCAGTGGTTCATCACCTCCTTTGACGAGACACTCTTGGCCGCGTGACTGTGTAACAGAGTTGATGAATGAGAACCTGCTGTTGCTAATGAAAGAAACCCAACTTCAATTGGCCGATAAAAACCAGAAAACTGGGGTGCCTGGGTGGCTCAGTGGGTTGAGCCTCTGCCTTCAGCTCAGGTCACGATCTCAGGGTCCTGGGATCGAGCCCCGCCTTGGGCTCTTTGCTCGGCAGGGAGCCTGCTTCCTCCTCTCTCTCTGCCTGCCTCTCTGCCTACTTGTGATCTCTGTCTGTCAAATAAATAAAGTCTTAAAAAAAAAAAAAAGGAAGAAAACTGTATCTCTCTATGAACCTCTCTCTCTCCCTCCCTATATACTGAATAATATAAATTAAAAACCCATGGATAGGTCTAAATACAATACTTGAGCAATATCAGAAGCCTCTCTTTGTTTCTTGGTCTCTGCTTTCCTCTACGTTGGCCGTATTTCCCAAGGAGGCCCTTCACAGCCTGTAAGCCCAATGGAAAGAGCTTATTCTTTTCCAGTAGCACCAGGGAAAGAAAACCTACAAAGGATTTCTATAAACCCTGTGTGGATCACATGTTCACATTGGAACCAGCCTTTACGACTGAGGAGCTGCGGAGGTCAGACCGGCCAGGCCTGGGTCATGTGACCTCTGGAGCTAAGGGCTAGGTTAGCAGTTCCTGTGCAGTCTGTGAATGGGGACAACGGGTGTCCAATGGGGTGCTGTTACCAAAGGAAATTATGCTGGAAGATCCAAAAAATACAGCAACAGATGTGTCCAACAGGGCAATCCCAGACACACCAAACTACTATTGCATGGTTTACTAAAACATTAAATTTTGTTTGACCCCTCAGCAAGATAGAATCAACGTTGTGTTTATGGGCCAGGTAAACATAGTGGGAGCAGAATGCTAGAAAAGTCTAGGGACAGGAGACAGAATTTTCTGACTTCCCAGTCTTGCTTGGGACAACCCAGGCTCCCACTCAGCCCGGTGACGTCCTGACCAGAGTGGCTATGGTTGCCAAGAAGACTTGTGTTCCGGCGCTGCCCTCAGATCCCCAGGGAGCTGTGGAATTCCGGAGAGGCTCCGCTGTGCCCAGATGGGCAGGGGACCTTGGCTCTTTGAGACTCCAGAGGAGGAAGAGACAATGCGTACGTTGTGTACTTCTCAGTGAAAAGGGAGCCTGGGTAAAGCCACCTACCTCAAGAACCAGAGCATAAAGACTTCTTACTCCTTCTAACCCTGGAAAGCTGTGGGCTAGTCCTCGCAGTGCCAGGGAGGGGCTAGGAGGAAAACAGGGTGCAGAGGGAAGGGGTCGAAACAAGCAAGCACCCCCACCCCCACCAGCTACTCCTGTAAGTAAGGATTCTGGCCCTTCAAGGTGTCATTTTACATAAAAACTTGAGAAAATTACTTGAATTCAGGCAAACCTGTAATGTCAGTTATCACACTTCTCGACCAGTTCTTTTTAAAAGAGTAAGTGGACTGGATTGCACTTAAACAAGCATTTAAAAACAAGACTGTAGAACGACTATGTATGGTTGGTGCTCAAAAAAACAGTAGGAGCCCTACACTAGTCATTACTGTTGGACAGTCTAAGGAACCCATGGGGGCTGGATGGCTCCAGGAACTCGGTCCCATCATGGCTGCACCAGCCCCTTCAGGAGTGACCGTAACAGCTTTACTGATGAACTCCAGAAGCAGCTAGGCTGAAAAATCAAAAGGGCCTGTTTTACATTGCCTCAGAGTCTGTGTCTCTTTTCTTTTACCAAGCACAAAGAAACGCAGAGTTCTTAAGGTATGATTTAGGGTGCGTGGGTGGCTCAGTTGATAAGTGTCTGCCTTTAGCTCAGGTCATGATCCCAGTGTCTTGGAATTGAGTCTCACGTCAGGCTCCCTGCTCATCGGGGAGCCTGCTTCTCCCGATCCCCCGGCTTGTGCTCTCTCTCTATCAGATAAACAAATGAAATCTTTAAAAATAAATAAATAAAGTGTGATTTAAAGGTGTTAATTATCCTTATTCTTTCTTATTATAAAAGCAATACATCTTTATTTTAGAAAATCTGTGGAGGAAAAGAAAAGTAATTAAGAACAAAAATGTTTATAATTCCACTACCAAGAAATAGCTAGTATTAAGATTTTATGGAGTTTTTCTAGTTTTTTTTTAATCTGCATATGTATTTTTGCTTTAATTCTTGTTACAAAATTAAGTTCTCCGTACATGTAATTGTGCATCTTTCCTTTTTGTAACATACTATCATGAGCGAGTCTTCATAAACAATCCCACTTCTGATCATGAAAACTATACACTTTTGTCCTTTTCTATGCCGCCAATAACATCCAGAGCAAGACGAAATCTATATAAAACAGAGGGACAATAAGATCCGCTGGTGGAAATGGTATTCCAGAAGAAAGTGGTTCTTTCCACAATCTCAGCCTTAGATTTCTATCACCTTAGGACTTCAAGACTTGAGGACTCTCAAAACTTAAATCAAGTGAAAACTTTTGAATGAAAAAAGAAAGGCCTGAGGCAGTACCAAAGATTCACTTCTG